ATATTTTTCCAGAAATCATTGACTTTGGTCAGTGGGCAGTCGCTGATGAAGTGATGAACAGGTTACAAGTTTACTGATTTTGGAACTTGAGCTGAAAAAAATTTATTTTGCAGCTGCCTGTATTGGGCAGCAAGTAGTGTCCACTGCACGAACTTATATAGCTGCTTCCTAATTGGGAAGGTTACAGGACAGGCTTCAACAATTTGCAAGTAACCAATGTTAAAAATAGTTATTGGGCAGTCGCTGGGTGCTCGCAGTTTTCGTAATGCGTGCACATCTTCTTCCATCGCGACACTGCTTATCAAACTAACAGAAGAAAAATTTAGGGAGCACCTTGCTGGTTCCTTTGAGATTCTGCTTAACTGTCCCCGCAAATTCGTCTTTAACCATGTAGGAAGGGTGCAAAATCCGCACGCATAAGCGGCTGTTTTCCATAGGCTTTGCAAATTGGCGCAATCCTGGGGGCTTAAAAAATTGGCTGTTGACTATTGGAAATTAGCCTAGGGTACATCTGACCGCAGAAGGAAATTACTCTGCAAAAGGAACAAAAATTTTGATGGTTTCTTCTTTAAAAAAAAAAAAAATTACGAGCTGCCCTTTCCAGATCTGGCTTGCTCGGCACTGCAGCTACGCGCTCGTCCTGGATCGGACGAGTCCGGAGGGAAAGGCTTATGTATAAATGAAGTTTTGAAAGAGGGGAGTTTGTAAGGGGTACATTTTTAAATTGATTGGATTTGGTGGTGTGAGGGAAGTGGCATTGCGAGCAGGAGCGCGCGGAGTGAGTGGCAAGGAGAAGGACTTTCGTTGTTCTGATGACTTCCGAATAAAGGAAGAATCTGAGGCGACACGGCCTGAATTGGGCATTTGGTTTCAGAGTGGAGCACTTCCTATTGGATTTGACGTTGTATCATCGGGAAGCAGTAGCAGCAGCAGTAGCAACAGGCCGGCCGCCACATGCTACTGCATAGCGCCGTTGGCTTTCATGATGAAAAGCTGTTTAGTAGCTCGGCCTTGCCCGGTTAAGGAAAGCAAGCACTCGTCCTCAATTACAATGGGTGCAAGTGGAGTGGTCCTGGTGTAGTTAGTGTGGTGGCTGAGATGCGACGGCCCAGGGACACAAGAAATGGAGAGTGCTCTGCAACTACGGGCCTGGGTGTTGTTGTTAGCAGCGGTGTGGTGTGGTCTCCTGACATTGCTTAGATAGATCCTGCCGGAGGCTTGCTTGTTGGAGGGACATTAGTTAGTTCCTCGCTGATGGCGCTGCTGCTG